GGAGTTAAAAAAATAGTAACCCTCGAGGGGGTGGTGTCTTGATGTTGACCCAATCAGCACCCCTGCAAAATTTAAACATATCACACCAGACCGGAAAAGAAGGATGATGAGGTAGTTGGAGGAGAAGTGACCATGTTTTAGGCCACGAGGGGAGAAGGGGCAGGAGCCCCGCTGGGGGCTAGGCCCCCCCCAGCCCCGACTGGGGGGCTGCAGAAACTTGGAAATAGTGTTAAACTGGACCAAGTTCTGTGGCTGAAGAGCTGAGGGAGTCTTACTCCACTGTGAGTGGACAGCAGGAGCGGCGGCAGAGGCAACAGTGAACAGAGAACTGTGGCAGAAAGCCAAGAAGATAAGAAACAAGCAGCAAAGACGGCATGCAGCTAAGCAGAGAGACATGGAGATGTCTGATGAAGAGACAGAGCAGAGAAAGCTCAACAAAGACAGTTTTGGGGTAAGAACTGAATCAGATCCCCCAAAACCCCTTTGAGACCCCTCCTAAGAGGAGGGGGTGGACTCTTACTTGATGGAAGTCCTAAAATGCAACATGCAGCAGAGAGAGAAGAGCTGAGAGCTCAGAGACGTCCTGGAAGCTGGACCGGGACGGCCAGACGGAATACGGGGGAAGTGGCCTTTTTGCCTCCCCCCCCCCCCACTGCTGCCACGCTGCCAGTTTTGAGACAGAGCAAAGGAGCTGTAATAGAACACTTAGGGCAAGGACTGAACTGAAAGCTGCCCTAAACGTTCTGACTCAGGGGGTAAATCCCCTGAGGAAGGGACTGTCACGAAGACCCCTGCACTTCGTGATATGACGTGGTGAGGCGAACCTTTTCCCTGCTTCGCAGTCCACAGAAGAGAGACCTTCGCTTGGAGTCAAAGGGCTGAGAGGGGTGAGAGGAGACCCCCCTTGTGTGTAATGGAGAGAGAGAGATCCAGCTACAACTCCAGCTACGACTGCTGCATTGGAGGGGAGAGACACTGCTGCTCTGAAAGTGGAAAGGATCTTTCCTTCTTCCCTTCTGGACTTTTATTGGAGGGAAAAGAGATTTGATCCAATGTAAATATTGCTTCACCATAAGAGAGATAGTTAGGATTGTGTATATAATGTATTATAATATTTATTTGTGTAATGATTGTAATATAATTCCCTTCCCCCCATATTGAGTCTTGTGTTGTGTCTGGAAAACCCCTCTCACTGGGTTGAGTTGTTGTCATGGTTTGAGATTGGCCCCCCCCTTGAGAAGAGGGGGACTCAGGGGTGATTGGGTGCCAGGGCAGTGTTCCCTGAAGAGCCAATCACCACTCATGTTGTTCGCTTCTGCTCAAAAATCATATATTCACAGCACCGGAAGTGGTTGGCAAGTTCTGTGTTGGCACTTGGGCTGTTGATGTCTGCTGCGTGTAGGTGTGGAAGGCTGGGGGGTGGCTGGGCTCCTTCTTCCCCCTCCGGGGAGGGAGGGGAGCCCTGCGGCCCCCCCAACTCTGCCTAGCCCAGAGCAGAGTTAGAGGCAGCATTTTGAGTGTGTGCAGTGAGGGAAGAGACTCACAGCACCTGAACCTGACTTGAGGTAAGAGGAGAGAGGCAGGCTTTTGCAACCAAGCCCTCTTCCCCCTCCTTTCTACAGCTAAGCTGTGGAGGGGGGCTTTTCTGTCCCTCCGCTGGAAAGTGGAGGAGAGGCTCAGCATTGAAGCTGAGCCAAGTGGATGGGCCGTGGAGGTAGACCCGACGCTCAGGAGAAAGAGTCCCAAGCGAAATTGGAGACGGACCCCCGGAGAGACAGAGAAAGGGGCCCGGAGGATGTCTCTGCCACGCAGGACAACCGAAAACCTGAGGAGAAATCCACATGCCAGGACGTGGACACTTGATAAGCAGAACCACACTGCAGCAACCTATGAATCAAGGGATGAGAGAGAGAGAGATCACACAGCAGCAGGAGAGCAAGGACTCAGAGCTATCTTCCTGGACTTCATGAGGAGGAGAGACTACAACAAAACAACTGGAACTTGGTGAGGGGGGAACATTCAGGCCCAGAACACTCTCACAGAGGGACTGGTTACTTTCCAGCCTTGAAAAGGCTCTTTCCTGGACTAAACTTAAAGGAGGGGCTTGAAAGGACTGATTGATAGAGATGTAATATATATATAGTTGTCTTTAGCTTGTATAGTATTTATTTGTGTAAATAAATGTATATACTTCCCCCTTCCCCTATAGAAGCCTCTGGCCTGAAAGTTTCTCTTCGGTGTTGGCACAAATTGTGGGAGGGGGTGGAGAAGCCTGAAAATTGGATTTTAGATTTCTAACGTGGCTCAAACTGCCACAGTTGTAGGGGGGGGTTTGGACTCGGGGATTGAATTTTTGGGTGTCTCAAACCACCACATACCATAATTTTCTGGGTTCTT